CTCCTCCTCTCCCCTCCGTTCCCCTCCCCCATCCCTCTTCCTCTCCTCCCTCTCCACCCTCCTCTTCCTCTCTCTCCTCTCCCCTTCGTTCCCCTCCCCAATCCCTCTTCCTCTCCTCCCTCTCCCCCCTCCTCTCCCTCTCGCTGGGCTCTTCCCGCTCCTTGAGGATTGAAGCCTGGAACCAAAGCACCGCTGTTCTACCACCCAGTTATGCTACACTCTTATGTAGTCTTTTGATACAGTGAATTACTTCAATTTTTTAAAAAACTGTTCAATCAAACCTTTCTTTCCTTTCTGGGATAATTTTAACTTATTGATTGTGTGCTGTCATTCTGATCTGTTGCTGAATTTGATCAGTAATGGTTTACTGAGGATGCATGCATTCATGTTTCTGAAAGATTCTTGTCTATACAGCAATGCTGACCTCATGAAATGGTTGAGGACATGTTTTCTTTTATATTCTGGAGGAGTTTAGAAGAGCATAACACCGGGTGCAGCAGACCCATTCCTTACTTTCTACTGTAAATGTGTGCTTTAGCATAATAGTGGTCAGCTGTGTCTCAGACTGTAGGCTTGTGTTTGTATTTACATTGTAGTTCACAGAGGTTTTTTTTTATTTCTGATGTTACCATTTGGGTTTGGTAAGCAAGTGAGCAGCTGATGTGAAAATGTTGATGTTTGTCCTAAGTACTCATTACATATTTGATATTTCATTTTATTGGTCTCTTCTTTCCCTGCTAAATGCATGTTGTACAATGTAGTAGGAAGTTCCTGACAAAACAGGGAGAGGTGACAAGACTGCCACATAGGAAAGGAAAGCCAAGACACGTGTTGTCAGTGTAAGCAAGAAGTGTCCATGGAACACACAGTTGTCATGCATGAAGACTTTGGTGTGATGGTTGAAATGAACCTTAATTTTATGGTAGAGTTCTGTTGGTATTTTCATGGTTGTTGAAATAGGCATTTCTTTCGATGTTATCTTTCAGGTTTTGTAAGCAAGTACACAGCTGATGTGAAAATGTTGATTTGTGTTCTAAATGCCCAAAAGATATTAAGAATTTAATACTTTATTTTATTGATATTTTATGTTCTTGGTTTTTTTGTTTGTTTGTTTGCTTGGGGTTTTTTTTTGTTTTGTTTTGTTTTTTTGTTTTTTTGCGGCCTCAGAATGACTTCGGGACACACATACATAAATAAATAAAATTTTTTTAAAAAAGGGGGCTGGTGAGATGGCTCAGTGGTCTAAAGCACCTACTTAGAACAAGCTTAGCAAAGCACAGGGACCGCGGTTCAATCCCCCAGCACCACATGCCAGCCAGCCCCGCCCCCTGGTGGGCTGAGCTGGCCACACACACACACACACACACACACACACACATAAATAAAATTAAAAAAAAAAAAAGAATGACTTCAGGGCAGGTCTGGTTTGGTGTGAGTATCTGAAGATCGAATCACAGCATCCTGAGGCTGACTGCTTTGGTTAAGCAAGCACTTCAACACCTGAGCTGATGGGCAGGCCCCCATTTTATGTTCTTGTTAACTGCACACTATATAGTATAAAAAGAACCTCCTGAGAAAACAACAAGACACTGAGGTGTCAAGTACATCCTACAAAAGGCCTGGAAAGTAAAAGACATGTGTCTTCCGTGTTAGCGATGTGTGTGTGTGTGTGGAACGCACCGTTGTTGTATGTGCCCACTGCTTCAGGTATGATAACTGAAGAAAAGATGACTTTTTCGTACAGTGCTGCTGGTATTCTCATTGTAGTTCATATAAGACTTTATTTGTGTTGTTCTTCTTTAGACTTTGTTTTTAGACCAAAAACAGTCAACATTGAATGTTTTTTTTTTTTTTTGCGGAACCGGAGATTGAACTCAGGCCCTTGCACTTGCCAGGGAAGCGCTTATTCCACTGAGCCATCTCCCCAGCAACATTGAAATTTTTTTTTAATAATTTTATTTATTTATTCATTTACTTATTCATTTTGTGTGTGTGTGGCCAGCTCAGCCCACCAGGGGGCAGGGTTGGCTGGCATGTGGTGCTGGGGGATTGAACCGTGGTCCCTGTGCTTTGCTTGGCTTAGCTTGTTCTAAGTAGGTGCTTTAGACCACTGAGCCATCTCACCAGCCCCAACATTGAAATTTTTGATGTTTTTTTAAATAAACACTCAATAAATAATAAACAAGCTGGGCATGGTGGCACACACTTACAATCCTAGCATTTGGGAGGCAGAGGCAGGAGAATCATTGTGAGTTCTAGACCAGCCTGGGCTACAGAGTGAGTTCAAGGCCAGCCTGAACTGCATGGTGAGACCCTATCTCAAAAAGAGAAAATAAATAAATAAATATTAAAAATCCAATACTTTATTTTTGTGTTTTTTACTTGTTATGCACTCATTGTTTAACAAAACTCGTAAAATTATACTGATAATTCATCAGTATAACTATTCTAAAGAATAAACATGGGTCTGACTCATTTTTCTGCATATTTATGACAAAATTAGTGTTATGCTCAAGGGTATTAAATTGGTATCATTTATCTCTAAAGTAGTAGACTTTGCCAGCAAAGGTACATGGGCCTGGTGTTTTCTGCTTTGAAGGGTTTCAATTATAAATTCTATTTCTTTAATAAACTATAGGACTGTTAAGTATAACTTATTTCTTGAAAGAGCTTTTTTTTTTTTTATGTGTGGAATCAGGGATTGAACTCAGGCCCTTGTGCTTACCAGGCAAGTGCTTATTCTACTGAGCTATCTCCCCGGCCCCTTGAAAGAGCTTTTTTTAAAAAAAAAAAAAAAAAAAAATGTTTGCTTATTTGGTACAGGGTGTTGCTTGGACTTGCCCACTTTTGGTGCCTGCCATGGAGCTCAAACCCGGTTCGTTGTGTTTGCTAAGCAGGCACTTAGACCACCAAGCTATTTCCTCAGCCCTTGAGAGAGCTTTTCTAGTTTGTTTCTTTGAAGGAGTTTCTCTAGTTCGTCTTGGTGTCTGAATTTATTGGCATCAAGTTGTTTCATGTAATGTTATTACATGATTGTCTAGAGGCTTCATGCTGACTTTCTCTATTTAATTCTTTATTTCTTTTTCATTCTTTTTGAGTGCTAGGGGTCGAACCGAGTGTCTTGAGCGTGCTAGGAGAGAACTCTGCCTCTGGACTATATCTCCAATCCTTCACGTTGATAGTAGTACTTTTTTCTTACACTTGTATTTGGTTTGGCTAAGGGTTATCAATGTCATTGATCTGTTAAAAGAGCCAGCTGTCATATTCAGTTAACTTCCTCTATTGTTTCTCTATTTTTCAATTTTATTCATTTCATCTCTTTCCTATTTCTCCCTTCT